TCTTGAACTACTGCACGAGTTGAGCCACACATCTATTCATTCACTGTTGCTCACTCCTTCTCTCTCCGCTCTCCTCCGCTCCTCGGTCCCCAGGAGCCGAGCCCACGTGGTGGAGGGCCAGGTGGAGGATGTGGTGGGGAACCTGCGTCAGGGCACAGTGGCACTGCAGGAGGCTCAGGACACCATGCAAGGCACCAGCCGCTCCCTTCGGCTTATCCAGGAAAGGGTTGCTGAGGTGACGTGGTGTGGCTTTCTCCCCCCGTGTTTGAGAATGAAGAGACAGTTTCAGGCACAAGGGCTAGAAAGTGCCAGAAAGTGACTTGGATGGGGACCTAGAGAGGGAGGACTATGAGCTCTGGGCCCAGCTTTGAGCCCTTGGTTTTCTGGTCCTGTGGCTGGGTGCAGACGGCCAGGGGTGGGCTCTGGGCTGCAGTGGGGGCGGGGGGCAGCTGAGCTGGAGAGGGAGGGGCCCGGATGTCAGGGGGCAGATAGAGGATCGGCAGGGGGACAACAGCGGTATCCTGGTTGGAGAGAGTTTTTGCTGCCTGATGAGTCGGGCAGGGGGAGGACGAGGCCCCCGCTTGTGAGACCCACCACAACCCAGGTGTCCCTTTCCCCACAAAGGTTCAGCAGGTGCTGGGGCCAGCGGAAAGACTGGTGGCCGGCATGACGGAGCAGCTGGGTGACTTCCGGGCACGGATGGAGGCGCTCCGCCTGCAGGCTAGGCAGCAGCGGGCACAGGCAGCTCAGGCCCAGCAGCTCGCGGAAGGCGCTGAACAGCAGGCGCTGAGCGCCCAGGAGGTACGAGCAGACAGACTTCATCCTAGGCAGCACAGCCAGGGTGAGGGTCCTCAGCAGGAGAGGACTCTGTACGCTTTGTGAGACCCTGGGTTCGAAAGCAATTCCAACATGTTATTCTAGAATCGTCAGAAAGGGCTTCAGGACTCTACCTCGGGCCACCTCTGGGGAGCTGGTCAGGGGTGTTGTGAATGATCTACCCAGTCCCTCCCCATTTACAGATGTACAGGTAACTTTGTCCAGGCCCAAAGCTCACCTACAAAGCAGGTCTGTTGGTACCCAGTCCAGAACTTGTCCCCTTTGTGGCTACCCAGCCCAGAGAGGCAGTCTTGACTTAGCCTAACCTGGGTCCCACCATTGTTGGAATTATGTCAGAGAGGTGATCAGAGAGCCTCTGGTCTGGGTCTCCAGCATACCAGGAACTTTGGCTCTCATGGTCCCAGTATAGTGGCAGGCAGCCAAATATGCTGCTACATGACAAGTAAGTGCCTGGCACCGTGCAGGAAGTTAGGCAGGAAATGACAGGAGCTCAGGTGGAGGGAGGGAAATACAGAAGGAATTTAAGGTATAGTTTGTGGCCTAGGGATTTTCCTGGGCAAAAGCAACCCTCTGGGGAGTGTCAGGAGGCACCTCGTGCCCGTGTGTTAATCTGGATGGTATCGAGACCTTTAGCCAAAGGTCTTTAGAACTTTGGGTGGCGGTGATGGTGACACTGAGATTGTTCCATGTTTTTCAGGGATTTGAGAGAATAAAGCAAAAATATGCTGAATTGAAGGACCAGTTGGGTCGTAGCCCCATGCTGGGGGAGCAGGGAAGCCGGATCCTGAGCATCAAGACAGAAGCAGAGGAGTTATTTGGGGAGACCATGGAGATGATGGACAGGATGAAAGGTGAGGGTTCCGTCCCGGGGCTCGGACTCCCGGGCATCCCAGGAGGCTGGTCCCAACCCCAGGTCTCTGAGGCCCACCCTTGTCAGAGCGAGCAGTGCTAAGGGGGCGAGACCAGAAGGGAGTCCTGAGCACCTGGGAATATGAGGCACAGTGATGGGGCTGTGGGGAATGCAGAGATGCTCACAAGACCTGTCCTGCCCTCCAGATGTGGGTCACGCGTCTACCAACCGGAAAAGGCCAGGTGGTAGCAATGGAACAAGCATTTACCTGTCTGTAGGAATTTGCTTTTTTTTAATTTTTTTTTTTTTAACATTTATACATTTTTGAGAGACAGAGAGAGACAGAGCATGAGTGGGGGAAGGGCCGAGAGAGAGGGAGACACAGAATCCGAAACAGGCTCTGGCTCCGAGCTGTCCACACAGATCCTGACGCGGGGTTCCAACCCACAAACCTTTATTTATTTATTTATTTTTGAATTTTTTTTTTAACATTTATTTATTTTTGAGACAGAGAGAGACAGAGCATGAACGGGGGAGGGTCAGAGAGAGAGAGGGAGACACAGAATCTGAAACAGGCTCCAGGCTCTGAGCGGTCAGCACAGAGCCCGATGCAGGGCTTGAACTCATGGACCGGACTGTGAGATCATGACCTGAGCTGAGGTCGGACGCTCAACCGACTGAGCCACCCAGGCGCTCCAACCCACAAACCTTTAGATTATGAACTGAGCCTAAGTCGGATGCTTAACCTACTGAGCCACCCGGGCACCTCAGGAATTTACTTTTAATTGCAGGATTTGGGGGAAGATCATGCATAGGGGCCTCCTGGGGGAGGGGACCAGGGAACATAATAGCAGCTGCTAAAATTTCAATACTTGGTCAACCCAAAGGTCCATATGGGTGCCCACTGACTGACTGGCATCCCAGTAATGCCCCTGTTACACTCTCCTGGTGGGATCTCACCCGGCGGGTGGTGTTCAGTGGTGGCTACTATATCCTCAGAAAGGATGTTGACAAAGCCTGCACGTATCAGAGGGAGGGTGAGCAGGGCTGGGAGTTAGAGAAGCGTCCATAATTGTATCGGATGAAAAATGGGTGAAGGAGCTAGGGAGATTTGATCTGAGAAGACATGGCCTCAGACATTTGAACGACTTCCATGTGGGAGACAGAGCAAATATATTCCCACACCCCTAGGAGACAGACCTGGGACAACCGGCTGGGGGCCAGAAGTGGTCAGACTCTGGCTTCATGAGAAGCCTTTTTTAACAGCTAGAGCTGCCTGACGTTGGAACCCTGTGAGGCAGTGCACCCCCTCCTTATTCCTGGAAAAGTTCAGGCTGATGCTGGGTGCCAGCTCTCAGGAGTGTGGTGGAGGGGCCTCTTTCCTAGGGTGACAGTGACAGGAGGGACAGGCTGTCCTCCACATCCTCCGCAGGATCTGGTGGCGGCATGGGGAACAGACCTGGCGGGAGGACTAGATTTATCTGGGGTGGTATTTGGGGGAGGGAAAGCGCGGAGGAATCCTGGTCCCCCAGCCAGCGCTTTTGCCATGGTGCCCACTTGAGGACCATTAGTGGGATGGCAGTGTCTGAGTCCAATAGTGGTAGGTTGGTAATCTCGGTGCCAGTGGCCTCCCTCACGAGTCTGGGACAACTGCTCTGCCTAGAGCAGAGGGGGAGACTAGGGGATTTCTGGGTCTGGTTTCTCTAGAGTAGGGTACGGGTGGAGAGCCATGAGGCTGGAGAGAACTTGCCTTAGTGACCAGGCTCCCCCACAGGTGACTTCACCTGTGGCTGCTGCCAAGCGGGTGGGAAGAGAAGGGTTTGGGGTCTTTGGGTATCTCACCAGCGCCTCCTCCCCTTGCTGTTCCACCTGCCTCAGACATGGAGTTGGAGCTGCTTCGGGGGAGCCAGGCCATCGAGCTTCGCTCGGCAGACCTGACGGGGCTGGAGAAGCACGTGGAACAGATCCGCGACCACATCAATGGGCGTGTGCTCTACTATGCCACCTGTAAGTGACGTGCCGGCTTCCAGCCCCTGGCCCTGCCCGTCTGCCCTCTTTACTTCTGGAGGACAGACTGGGTTGGAATGCTTTCCAGCTCCAGGAGACTTTTATACAGCCGAAAGCACAGCGTGGTCCACCCCTGGTGTGCAGCTGTTAAGATTGTTCTGGGCTGCAGCTGAGCCAGAGATGATGGGAAATTACATTTGAGAGACAGAGAGGGTGGAGGCGGGCCGTGCCTTTGTGACTGGGAGCTCTCAAGTGCAGGGAGCTTGACTGGGCAGCGTGCATGCCCTTCATCCTCCACTGAGGCTGAGTCCTGGACGGACCCAAAATCTTAACAAAAAGTGATGTACAAACTAAAAGCCCAATAAAAATCTTTGGAAAGAAGTCTGGAGGTTGAAAGAGTTTCAGAAAATGGCCTCCCCATTAAGTAAATCTCTGTCACTTGTGTCTGTCCCACACTTGGGGTTCCTGGGTGCTCCCCTGCTCAAGCCCAAGGCCTGGTGGTGTAGGAAGCATAGGCTGCCCCACTTTGCTCAGTACAGCTTGCTCATCACCCAAACTTAGGGTGACTGGACCCCTTTGCCCCAGGACCCAGTGGATCCCTTCCTTGAGAGACCACCAAGTATTTTCATCTTTGAGCAGCGATCCAGTTTCTCATTTACAGATGAGGAAATAGAAATCCAGAGAAGGGAAGTATTGTGTCCAAATTCACCCAGCTCCAGAGGCAGAACCTGTGTCTCTTGGGATCTCAAAGAGAAGTTGCAAATGGATGACGGGTAACTGCGTGTGTGTGGCACATATGGAAAAGGCGTGACGTGAGTGTACTAACCACAGCCCGTGCAATGTGCTAGGCGTTTTACCTACATTAACTTTTTGACTATTATTAATCACGTTAATTCCTTATTGAGCACTGTGCGAGAGACATCATGTGCATTATCTTGTGATGTAGGTGCTGTTCCCATTTGACAAGTGAGGAAACCAAGGCACAGGCTGTGTAACCCCCCCAAGGTCACAGATGAGGCAGAGGGCAGGGCAGAGCTGGGTTTTAAATTCATGATCGTCTACCACAGTCATTAGGAGAATGGATGCTGGAGCCTGACGGCTCGGGCTCGCACAGACCCTACCCCGGGGGTCGTTCTGAGGAGTCAATGAGTCAGTGCGTGAAACTCCTGTCATTAAGTACCTGGCATACCTTATGCTCCCCGTCTGCATCAGCCACCCCCCTGCCAGACCCCAGGCTCTCCACCCGGCACGGGCTCAGAAGTCCCAGAGCCACTGCTGACTTTGAGAAGAACCACATGAAGCCTCGTAGAGAAAAATATGTCCGTTTTATTGAGCACAACACCGAGCATGAAGCTGGAGGGGACGGGGTACAAGAAAACTAGGGAGGGACAAGAATAAGGTCCCCGATTTCCAGGGAGAGAAAGAAGAGCAGAAGCAGGATGAGAATTAACCATCTGAAATGAAAACCGTCAACTTGCAATTTGTACTTCATTGGGTGTGGGTGGGGCGTCTCGGTCAGGATAAGGATTCCTCGCAGTACCTAATCATTGATTTCTTTCTTTTTCATCTTGGAGGCTGTGGGGCTGCTTTGGGCCTGGGGCAGGGAGGGAGGTGGTTCAGAAGTGAGCCGGGGGCAGGCTGGCCGCGTCTCAGCCCGGTTGGAGCTAATCCTAAAGCCAAGGATGGGAACTTGAGAGCTCACGGGTGGCCCACAGAGCTGACTGTCATTCATGCAGATGATGGGCAAGCGACTACATTAATGAGCCCATTCTGGCCGTGAGGACGAAGGCCTGGCAGGCAGGAGCGAGTGTGTGCTGAGCGGGAGTCTGGGTCGATGCTCCATATGGCTTTGCTTGGAGAAGGTGACACAGCCTGGCCAGCCCATTAAGCTTTTCATCACAAACAACACAGACCCGGGCAAGAGCTACCTAGTACACTGCACGGAGCCACGGCACGCAGGGTGTGGGGGCGCAGAGCAGGCAGGTCAGGGAGACCTGGAAACGGGTGGATGCCGCCCTCCTGCCCACGGCTTCAACGAGGCCTCCGCGCCTCGGGGCTCACCGCTGGGCCTTCCGTGAGGGTCTGCCCCGGGCGGCAGCGTGCTGCTTCCGACCCTAAACCACTCCTGCCAGGCCCTGCTCCACTTGCTCCGCCTTCCTCCCTGCTGCAGGGTGGATGCCGGGTTTGGAAGGGTAGAGAAGAGATGACAACTCTCCTGCAGAGGAAATGGGTTCAGGGTGGGGGTGGGCCTGCCGCTTCCGGTGCCCCTCAGACCCCTTCATTCAGACCCTGTGCTGGGGCTCTCCTTCCGGGCCAGAAACCCTCCCCGAGCCCCCCGCCCTGGCCTCCCACCTCTGGTCGCCTCACCTGAAAATTGACACAGGCGTGGACTCCGGGGATCACATGATGAGACAGACTCCAGTCTGCCCCGCCCGGCAGTGGGAACTGCCGCTGGCTTTAACCGGCACCATGACCTCTGATTTGTAGTTCCTGGAAAGCAAACGAGGCAGCAGGCTGTGAAGTATTTGTGGAAGCAAGAAGATCTGGGTGGTTCCCCGTGACCGTGGCATCCACTCAGCCCTCCCTTTATCAGGTTTGGAAAGTACAAGCCCTTGCCGAAAAGACCAAGATGACAACGAAGCTCCCCTCCTCCCCCAACACAGCGGTTCTGGAAAGTCAAGGGATCTAGTGTGCATCACTCACACGTGCCCAGTTTTCTGCAGGCATTTATAATTCCTGTTGCTTCGCTAAACTTTTAAGTACCTTTGTGAGGCAGGCTGAGCAGGTGGGTAGGATTTTACAGATGAGCAAACCAGAAACAGACACGTTGCCTGATCTGTCAGCAGCCACACAGCTAGTGGGAGGGACAGGACTGGAGGCACTTCCCTTGACCCCTGATCCAGAGCTCTTCCCACCCTGCAGAGCCTCCTCCTTCTGGTCAGTGTCTTTCAGTCCCTTTGCCTGAGCAGGGCTAGGCCTCTGTCTTTGGCTGAAAATACGTACTGTTTTCTGTTAGCTTTTTTGAGGAGTGTGGGTTCGGAGCAGTAAGAGGACTTCTCTTTACTCCCGATGCTCAGGCAACTAGAACAGCAGCCACAGGGCCCAGCGGCCAGGGGCCCCTGCTGCATGGGCACCAGGCTGCTGCTGATGCGGAGCGAGCCATTGACCAGGCAGTTGAGGGACCTGCCACCGGGCGCAGCGGTCCGGGGGCGGTGCTGGCAGGGCAGCCGGGGCAGGGCAGGAAGTGCGCCACTCTGGTCCAGGGCAGGTGCCTCGGTGATGGTGAGCTCAGAGGAGCTGGGTCTGGAGGCTTCTGAGGCCTGAGTGACGGGAGGCCTGTTCTCCACCTCTGGGTGGATGCCTGGGCTGTGCAAGTTCATGTGCAGCTTCCTCATGTGATGCACCACAGCTGCTGCATTGAAGGCTTGCTGAGGAGACACAAGAGCAGCCTCTGGCCACCTCTGCTCCCAGAGGGCTGGAGGGCTCACACTTTCCCTTTGCCCTGTGGCCTCTTGAAACTTGCCCACTTCTCATTTCAGAGAGGGTCCAGGGAGCTCCAGCGTCTGCTAGGAAGCCCCAAGGACAGACCCTCCACCAGCCCTGCCCCAGCTCAGCCTCCAGTGGCCCAGAAGAGCCTGCTACCTCCCCAGAAAGGGCGACCTACCCTCCACTTGCTCTTGGCGAAGTTCTTCTGGATCTGGAGACTGACTGATGGGTAGATGTCCCGGTGGAGGGCTGTGTTTCCATTGATCCTGTAGATATAGAAGGGACACCTGGCTAGTGGGTGATTATGGGACTCATCCAGGAGCTGGGCAGGGAGCTGTGCATGCAGGTCCTAGTTGAGTGAACTCAGAAGAAGAGTGACCCACCGTAGGAATGGGCTGGAACCAGGCTCCTCTGTCCCCCTGGGCAGGTCATTAGGGGGCCAATGCTTTGGCAAAACCAAAATCTTGCTTTACAGCAGGGTCGGCAAACTATGGCCCGTGGGCCAAATCTACCCATTGCCCATTTCTGTAAATAGGTCTCACTAGGACACAGACGTGCCCATTCATTCAGGTATCAGCTATGGCTACTTCCAGGTGATAAGGGCAGACTGAGTAGTTGCAGTACAGATGATATGGCCGGCTAAGCCTAAGATACTGACTCTCCAGCTTTTCACAAACAAGGCTTACCAGCTCCTGTGTCAGAGGGTGCTTGGGTTGCCCTCTCTGTTAACTCAAAGCTTTGCTTGGAACCCATCTCCTCCTGGAAGCCTTCTTGAAGGAGGCCGCCCAATACAGGCTGCCCTTGCCCTCATCATCCATTTCTACGTGTTCCTTAGACATTTGCCATGTGTGCAGTACTTTCTAGGTACTAGGGACGCAGAGGAGCAACACATGTTGCTACTGATTCCTGGGGCTTGCCAGTGTAGGGGTGGAGCCTTGTTCCATGCCATGAACTAGAGTCATTCATGTAAGCTGTGTGATTGATAAAGAGAAGTGAGGAGGGGTACCTGGCTTGCAGGAGCCAGGGCATCAGGGAAGGGCAGAAACTGCTCCGGTCCTCAAGGATGCTACATACAAGGCAAGAGGCAGGACATTCTAGGTGGTGAAAATAGTATGACCCCAGGTGTAGGTTGGAAAGAGCTTGGTATATGGGGTAGGGGAGAGCAGGAAGAGAAATGCAACTCTTAGGCCTCTCTGTAATAGAGGATGTGTGTCGGGAATTGGGGGGAATAAAGTTGGAGGTAAAGGGTCAGACCAGAATGGGGAAAACCTGAAAAGGCACAGGAATCTAGGCTTGCTGTGGTAGGAAGTAGGGAGCTACTGGGAATCTTGAGCAGGGGTGTCACATGAGAAAAGAAAGTGTTTCAAGACTTTATTTACTCAGTTTACTGATTGGTTGCTTTGTGATTCCTCACAAATCGCCTCACTTGGGATGATTCTCTTAAGGACAGGGCACAGCTGCCTCTTCCTGGTGCCTCTTGCACAGCTGGTACTGAGGGTTGCATCCTAGTACTGATGACAGAGGCTGGTTGTGTCTGTCTCCTGCCCTTGATGAGATGATGCAGCCCCCACGTCTGGGTCAGAACCCACTTCATTAAATGCTGTTTGCATCTCTAGCTGGACCGGATAGACAAGTCTATGCTCCTTGGATGCTGCAAGAGTAAAGAGCTCAGGGCAAGCAAACTCTGGGGATACACCATGTGAATGAGTCATCATGGCATCTGGGGAACCAAAAGGCTAGGGTCCAGACCCCACCCCATCCTCACTCACCAGGGGTGCCTCAAAGCCTTCTCACAGGTGTACCGTTCATTCGGGTCCTTCTCCAGCAAGTGGCAAATAAAATCCTTGGCTAAGGGGAGCAATCAAAGACACAACTAAGGGCCAGATTTCGTGACTGATGGAAATTCACTTCCGGGCTGGTGGGTGGCAATGAATGCATCTTTAGTTAATCTTCCAAAGAGGCAATTTTAAGAGTCTTAAAAGAGAAAAAAAAAAATCCAAGCCACCTAACGACAACCCACCATAAACCACCAAAGAGAGGCTCTACGTAGCCTCACCCACACAGCACTGCAGATACATCTCTTATCACGAGGCACCAACATGCCTGCACGCCACGAGTGTATTCGTTTGCACCATTCAGGCGCAGGCACCCACACGTGGGCACACATGTGAATGCTGCCTTGTCCCAGCGCTGATCTGCACTTAATGGGCCCCACAACATGTAATGATTGCCTTCTCTCCCACATACAGACATTGCATACTCTCAGTCTTGATATCTGAAAGGAAAAACTTGGCCTTGGTTTTGCTGCTCCTGCCTGGAACATTCCCCTGTGCCTCAAGCTGCCCTCCTGGCCCCTCATCTAAACCACCTCCCCTCTTTTACCAGGTATGCTGTGGTTCTGCCTCCAGAAAACAAAAGCCTAAACATTGGATGCAAATAATTTATTTGGCCTTTGAGCCAGATGAAGATTTCTCCACTCTCTCTGGCAGCCTGGTCTATAAGTTTCCCTAGGGACTTTCAAGAGCCAGGACTGTCATCTTTTGTTAAGCTCTTTTCTCTTGGCACCCTCTGCCTTGAGCCTGTCATCTTGTCCTTCACATCTGGTAGCCTTACCTGACTCAGAAATGTCATCCCAGAATGGAGATTCAAATTCATAGTAGCCCTCCTTGATCTTCTCGAAAAGCTTAGACTCAGTTTCTTCATAGAAGGGGGGATACCCGCACAACCTGCAGTGAAACACGGAAGGAGGTATGCTGCTAAACAACCACAGTCTCCCTGAGCCAGCCTCTCCCTTCTGCCTAGCCTCCACTATACACAGGCATGAGCTAAGGATCTCCAATCAGCAGTATGAACAGGTGGAATCGAGAATGATGCAGGCCCCATCAAGTGTTTATGCAGGAGCCAAAGCTTGGAACAGGCAGCCCTGGAAGGCCCCTTTGTGCATTGTTCCCCCAAACCTCTCACCACCTCTCCTATACCTCCCCTGACACTTAGATAGGTATACAAGATCTTTAAGAGGGATGATAGAATGTCTGCTTGAATGTAAGTTTCCTGAGGGATTATTTAGGCTATTAGCACAGAATAGACAATCAATGAATATTTGTTAAGTAAATGAATGAGTGACAGTAGTTACTCAACATAAGCTTAGGAAATAGAGAACTGAATCCACACTAAGGGGTAAATGACAGGTTATTTTCCTAACAGCAGAGTCTGCTATAGATGAAGAGGAATGGTGGGGAAGGGGTGATGAGTAGGTTAGTAAAGGAGAACCCAAGAATATGTGAAGAGGAACAATGACCAGATTCATTCGGGCCATCATTTTGCTTTGGGCTGACTTGCCAGGAGAGAAATTTGAGATGTGAACATTGTACCCACTTGACTTCCAAGCTTGGCTTGGCCTCCCCTTTTTCCATTGCTCATTCCATAGAGCGGGACTCAACACATTTATATAGAGTAAATGGGGGTGGGGTGCAGGAACAGAGAGTACCATATGGCTCAACAGTGGGTTCACACTGAGCTCTGTTTTTATAATCTGGTGGAGACCAGGACAGAAACCTTTGGAGCTGTGTGCATGAGTAAGCGTGTGTGTGTATGTGTGTGTGTGTGTGTGTGTGTGTGTGTGTGTGCGCGCACACACACACACATGCATGCAAGCACTCGCACATGCACACGTGTACATACACATGCTTTGGAGGTGGATGTTGCTTGAGGAGCTAAAATAGGGGAGGGGAGAAAAAGGATGAGCAGGTTGTGAGATTTCCCAGGAACTGAGCCAATGACAGCTTCTACTCACAATATGTAAGTGATGACGCCAATAGACCAGCAATCCACAGCCTTGCTGTAGGGCTTCTGTGCCAACACTTCCGGAGCTACAACAAACCAAAGGCAGAGTCAGGGCTGGGACAAGAAGAGAGGGCCGAGGGGTGAGGGCTGAAGGTCAGGATGAGGCTTAGAGAAGAGGACTAGGAAAGTTCCTGGGATGGCAGTGTTTCTGTATCACTGAAACTTTTCCTAGGGCGGGGACGGTGTCTCTCCCATCTGACTGAATCTTCCGCCATCAACCTGGAAGGTCCCCATGACAGGGCCTATGACTCTTACATCAGACTGGGAATCTCCAGGGCTACCTTGCCCCCATCAGATGTAGGTCTATGTCTCCCCACACAGATGGGTTAGCCCAGGGCTGGGCTTGTGTGTCTGTGTTCTGATGGGGACATCTGCCAAGTAGGGGCAATCTCTCTCCCACTAGACTGGGATCTCCCTGGGGGCAGAAACTGAGTCATCCCTCTTAAAATGAGGAACTCTTAGAGGGCAGGTGATAACTGCTCCATCTGTCTCTGGTACCTTCTGAGGGCAAGGCTGTTATCCGTATCAGACTGAGAGCTCCATGAGAAAATGAGCCAGGTCTTCCTCTGAATGGGAGCAGTAGAGGGCTACTTTCTGTATTTATCCCAGATCCCAGGGATTTGTACTCATTGGGACTCGGTACCTACTAACTGACCTCTCTTTGGGGGTGAGAGCAGATTTCCTCTTAAGTTAGAGTTCTCCTTCCTACTACCGTCCTCAACCAGGTGATGAGTGGTGAAGAGGGAAGGGGCAGGAGTGGACATTCTGAGTTTTGGCTTTCTCCCCATGAATTTTGGGGATGCTTTCACCTGGTAACTTGCCTGCCTTACTTTTTGGGGGGCCTTGAAAGCCTGTTGTTTAGGCAGGAAGTCCCGCCTCTGCCAGTTTCCTAGGATGTTTTCTTGGGGATACGTTTGGGCGGGAGCATGCATGCCTGAGTTCCTCGGCTTCAAACTCAACACTATGCCTCTGGGATACCACCAACTGGTGGGTTGTAGTCTCCTGTGGAAGTGGGAAAAAGGAAAAGGGGTGGCTAGTGGTCAAACCCTTGGCAATCTAACGATCTCTGGGTTTGTGATCTTGTCTCTGCCCCTGGTTTAGCTGGAGAGACAAAGGCAGGAAGTTAGCCAAAATAATGAGAGGCAAGTATAGGCAGGGGCTGTTGGAAGAGTTCAGGGGTAGGCTGTCTTTAAAGATGTAGGGTTTGGGAGCAGTAGGGGTAGTTCCAGACATACATGGATTTACCCTAAGCCTCATAATGAATGCTCTCCTGGGATTGCCCCTGAAGTTGAACCCTGTCTCCTTATAACCACCCCTCTCTGTTAAGTAATATCCATGAGGTTGAATGCAGCCAACTGGTTAACCTTCCTCCTGTCCCCAGACTCACCCACATAGCCCGGGGTCCCACAGGCAGTGGACATGACTCCACTCTGTTCCATCTTGGACAGACCAAAGTCTGTGATCATGATCTTAGAATTCTCTTCAGGGGTTAGGTACAGCAGGTTTTCAGGCTGTGGGAGAAGAGCAATACCATGCAGTGTAGGATATAATCATCTGAAATACATATTTATTTTCCTCCCCTGATAGAGAATTTCTTAGGAAGCTACGCTCTGGGCTCCTGACTTCAAGGACAGGCTCATGTCCCCCAGTTCTTCCCTCCTTCCTCCTAGCTGCAGCTCCCCACCCCATATTGAGTACTCTGTATTTTGCTTATGGCCCTCAGGTTGCTCATCTTTGTAGCCATTAAAGAACTACTCCCTCCCCCTCCTCAGCCCCAACTACCCTAAGACTGTTTTTTGAGGAAATCAAACCATAGTTAATTGTCTCTGACCTTTCTAAAGTCTAGTGTGTGCCTGATGCAATGTTGGCCTCCAATTACTATTTATTTCTTCTGATTTTGAGTGTGGCTAGGTTCAAGAAACATGTGCATTCTCTTGGTATCCTAATAGGGTGAGGCCTAGGGCAAAGTTCAGGAAGAGGCTGAGATGAAAATTAACAATGATTGTTCAGTCATTCAAGATTTGTTTAAGGGATCCAACAAATGATGAGGTTGGTCCAACCCTCTCATTTTACACAGCTTAGGCTGCCCATGACCCATGCAGCTTCCCGAAGGGTCATTCTATTTCCCATTGAGGACTCCCACTCGGGCACCTTCAAGTCTCTGTGGACGATGCCATTCTCGTGGAGGTATTTCACTGCTGACAAGACCTGCTGGATCACCAGGCTGGCATCCTTCTCGGTGTAGACACCCCGCTCCAGGATCCGGTCAAAGAGTTCCCCGCCAGAAACACTGTGGGCATAGGGGCAAGCGCAGGAATCCAGGTCAAAGGGACATAAGTGCATTTACTCTGTAGCTATGAAGACACAGCAGTGGCAGAACGGGTGGGTGCCCATGGCCTAGGTAGGGAGGTCTACCTTAGTTTGAGAATACCTCCTTTGGGTGGTGGAATGATATCACGAGCGAGTCATTTCTTTGGGCCAACCATTTCCCTCTCCCTAGACACTTCTTTGAAGTGCAAAATGCCCCTCGTTAGAGTTAAGCAAGAAGCCAATAATCCCTTAGTGGACACACACTTAGCTGCCTATTTTCCTGACTGAGGACACAGGGGCCATGATGAAAGAAGAGGTGAAATTGAAATGAGGCAAAACAGGAATGAGGTGTACACGTGACACAAATTGTGCTCGTGTCAGGATTTCTGTCCTCACTGGAAAACTGGGCTACTGACTGCCGAACTTGTGGGTGGAGTTCTAGTGCTGCTTGGAGACTCCAATGATAAGGTATCTTAGGATTCAGGGGAGCTTCAGATCCACTCTGCTCCCCATCTCTTGAATGCCATCTACACTATTTTTGCCAAGAAGTTTCTTAGCTCGTCCTGAAACACCTCTGAGGCCGACAACTCACTACCCCTAAGACAGACTGTTTTATCTTTCACCGCCTTCTTAATATTTCTGTATATTACGACGGAACCCACTCCCTGTAGTTTCCACCAGCAGATAGCCCTTCTACCCACTGGGGCCACGCAGAGCAAGAATACCACCCTTTCACGTGGATCTCTTCAAGTATGTGAAGACAGTGAAATGCTCACCTGAGGCCTTCCCTGGGATAAACATTTCATGGGCCAGGGTTTCCAACTCTTTCACAGTCCTTGCCCCCTTGTCACTGTTCCATGACACCGGATGTGGACGTGCACACATCATAGGACCATGCAGTGATGAGGAAGGAGAATTTCTCTAATCAAGATGCACACCGCCCTACTCCTTTTGTTTCTGTCCTGAAGCTCTGGGCTCTGCCATAGGATCTAGAGGCCCAGGAGAAAGACAGTCTCTATGCACAACTAGCAATTCCTGACACGGGGTGGCCTGGGTCCTAGAGCTGGCACCCTCATAGGCTTTCCACTCTTTGGTGATATCTGAATCTGCCCGCTTCCCTGCCTCCCCTTAGCTGGCTATCTAAATGTGTGCTAATCCTGTTGAATTGGCCTCATTAAGGTGCCACATGGTCCCTGCTCATTTGTTAATGCTGTTCTGCACCCCTATCCCCAACCTCACTCCCTTGACCACCTGCTCCCTCTAGTCACTGGGCCTCAGGTGAGCCTTGGAGTTAATAGGCTGCTTAGGCCTGAATCAACTCATTAAAGTTTCTGAGGAATCAGCCTGTTAGTCAAAAATATTGCATCTAGCCATAGAGATAGCAGAGTGGTGTGTGTGTGTGTGTGTGTGTGTGTGTGTGTGTGTACTTTATAAATAGAAGTTTCTCTGAGTCCAAGGCTGAGCACTTGTAGGAGCACCGACCAACTCCTACAGCATTCAGTCTCAGACAGAACTCCTATTTATATATGACAATGATGTGGAGACCTTTCTAGGGAGGCACCATTTCTGTCCCACAGATGGACACACACAGTCACAGCCTGTTTTTAACTTTGGATGGATCTCTTTTGAGAAAATCTTTTTTTTTTTTTATATGTATCAAATTGAAATCTGTGTCGTGTGGTTTCTAATCCCACAGTAATTTTACCCTAGAGTGGCATTAAAGTATTTAACGTTAGTTTGATGGACTGACTGGTCAAAATGGACTCAAGCCGTGGCGCCCGAGAAGGGTTCTGGAAGGTTCCCTGCTATGCCAGTCATTATCCCTTCAACTGTAGCATTGTGGGGAGGTCCAGAAAGTCTGAGGGGAGTGGCTGGGGCACAGGGGAGGATGGATGGGTTGGAGTCACAGCTGCTGCCAGAGTCGCTTAGCTGACTTGTAGCAAATACTTTAGGGGCACCTGGATGGCTCAGTCAGTTGAGCATCTGACTTCAGCTCAGGTCATGATCTCGCGGTTCATGGGTTAAAGCCCCATGTTGGGCTCTGTGCTGACAGCTCGGAGCCTGGAGCCTGCTTCAGATTCTGTGTCTGTCTCTCTCTCTGCCTCTCGCCTGTTTGCGCTCTGTCTCTCTCTCTCTCTCAAAAATAAAGAAACATTAAAAAAATATTTTAACGATCGGTAAGGCTGTCGTGGTACAGACCATCTCAATAATCAGTCCTAGTTCTACCCTTCGGTCCACACAGAACATGTTCATGACCAGAGGCATACTTAACCTGAGAGAAATCTTAGCATTTGAGAGCCTCTTGAACTAATTCTTGATCTCATCTTTTAAATCACCGTACTCCCCTCACCACCGAGCAGCTTCCTCTAGGCCTCCCAGGCCCCCAGAGACGTCTGTAGAGGAAGTGGGTCACCTTTCACTTACAGCTGCATGACCAGGTAGTAGTGAGTGGTGCTCTCATAGATGTCCTCCAGGGTCACGATGTTTTCATGCTTGATCCTGGGGAAAAGGAAGGGTCATGGTACGTGGTTTAGGTGTCCAGACAAAGAATGGACTTTTTTATTTCTGTTAGAGACTTTGATGACAATATTTAGGAAGAGTGGATCCTTGTGAAACCTTCCTAATAAATAGGTGGTCACAAAGAAATCTTAAAGATCCCAGAGTGGTGTTCAATCCATATTTTTGAATGGATAATTGATCATTCTGCCTTCAGGGAACCAATATTTTGTGACTACTCCAGAAATCTCTTTAAACTTTGCCAAAAGAGAAAGTTAAAATACCTGAAGAAGGCCAAGGGAACACCCGAAACTAGATTATTTTACAAAATGGGTATCCAGAAACATCCTCGAAGAAAGTGGACTGCAGCAGAAGAGAATCGGGTTAGTTAAGCCTCCTCATGGGTAACCACAGAAGTAGTGTTGCAAAATTCTTATTCCGGAATATTTTGAGAAGCCGGGAAGATGCTATTTTCTGGGGTCAGTTCTGTGGAATGTCTTTGTTGCTGATAGTAATTCTCAACCAGCGGCTCTTTTGTCCCTGGGGGAATATTTGACAATAACTAGAGACATTTTTTGTTATTGTGCCTCGGGAGGGGGTAAGAGCTACTGGTATCTAACGGACAGAGGCAGGAATGCCAGTCAATATCCCATAATGCACAGTCCACCACCCCACCACCCCAATAAAGAATTATCTGGTCTAAAATGTCAGTAATGCTGTGTTCAGGAAAATTTGCTCTAGGTTCTCTCTGAATGGGATTACTCAAGGGCCAAGGCAAGCAGAATAATCATACTTGCTGTGGGGCTTGGCTTCCCGGGCAGCAATTCTGTGCATAGGAAGAACCTTTCTAGGAAGTTTGGTTCATGGCTGGGTAGCATAGGGGTTAAGAATTTGGACTCTGAGTCAGTTGGGTTTGAGTTCAGATCTGGATGAGATACTTATGAAATGGATGACTGGCTGGTTTTCTTAAATCTTCTAAGCCCCACTTTTTTGGTTTGTAAAGTACATCTCTCTCAGGGTTATATCAGGATTAAATGCATGCAAAATGCTTAGTATAGTGCCTGGGGAATAGTAAACACATAATAAACAGTATCTAAACATCTTTAAGTTTAATTTCTAAAATTATAGACCAACTGCAAGTGGGTACCTGATGGATTCAATTACACTTACAAGTTGACAATACTAACATTAATATATCATTTACTGAACAAATCTTTACCAAGCATCTATGCTGTTTAGGGACTGATGATACAATACAATGGTAAGAAAGACCACCATAGTCCTTGCTCTCAATGAGTCCACAGTCCATCTCTGTTCTAATCTCTCTGGAGTCCAAACTGGTATCTCCAGCACCCTCCATGTAGAGATTGGGGGATACACGTATTCAATATGTTCCAACAAATTTCTTTCTATTTCCTTCAAGCCTACACATCCCTTTTGTTCTCTATCCAAGCAATGACATTACCATCCACCAAATCGCTCAATCTCAGCATCATTTTTAGTACTTTTCTCTTTTATACTCGAAGCAGTCGATCCCAAGCCCAATCACTCTCTCTCTTGAATCCAGTCTTCTTGCTGCCACACGATCCTGCTATTACCTTTGCTTGTATCCTCACCCATTGTCTAGATTATTGAGAAAGTCTTAAATCCATCTTCCACCATGCTTAAGAGGCATGGCTCTAAAATATAAGTCTGATCATGTGATTCCTTACTAAAAATTCTTTGATGACTTTTCTTTGCCCACGGAAAAAAGTCAACATTCTTTACCATGGTAGCCAAGACCCTTTATAATCAGATCTCATTTGATTTCGTCTCCTGTCCCTTGATGATCCTTACTCTAAGCTCAGGGGCTTCTAACACCGACTCTTTCCTAACGTCCGTTGCACTTACACAGTTGAGTTTCTGTTACTCTCAGCCTGAATTCCCTTTCTGCATTGCCTCTCCTGTCTCCATTAAATCCTACTCACCTATCAAGGTGCCTCTTCCTTAAAAATGTACCTAATACCCCATACTCATAAAAATGCACATGTAGGGGCAAAATGAATCTCTGTATTTTTCAAGCCTTGCCTTCTGCTACTATTGGCTCATGTCTAATGGGATTAGAGTTTGTTATGGGCACCTGTCTCTGCCCAGAAAATGTGAGCTTCTGAGGATAAGGAATTTTGTAGGCCTTATTCTTGTGTTCCTAATGCCTAATACACTTTTGGCATACCATGGGGATTCCACAAGGCTTTTTTGTTTGGGTCCTGCTGTAAACAGTCAGATGGTTTGTTAGTGTGGCCTCTACCATGATGGCTGGGGTGCTGAGCCTATGTTTGCTTTGGAATAAAGTCAAAGCAATTTCTAAATCTTCTGCTTCCTTAATTACTGATTCTTCCTGCTATTGGCCCTAGTTGATTTTTGTTCCATTGAGCTAATTATTCTCTGGTCTATGTGCACAAACCAGGTCTGCTATCAGTTGGTTTGCTAGTCAGTTTGCTGCCCCCCACAACCACCCCCCAATCAGCAGAAGCACCTGCCTGGCTTAACTTGGCCGATTGATCCAATGGACACATTAATGCAATCAAGGGGAGTAAGTAATGCCTTTGGGTGTGGAAATCCATCTTCAGTCCTACTCAAAGGTAATTTGTGAAGGAAATGTTATGATCTCACAGTTGTACCCGACCAACCCTAAGACCCACTCACTTTTTCAGCACGGCAATCTCATTCTCCAGGCTGCTGTCCCGGAAGGCAGGTGACTTCTTGATGCACTTCAGGGCAAAGAGCTTCCCAGTCATCCTTTGCTTCACCAGGAAAACTTCTGAAAAAGCTCCTCTAAGTAGAAGACACCAAGAGTTAAAATTAGTCCTGGCTGGCTACAGAACATTGTTAGAGGCAAAACCAAAGGGTAGATGAAGGAAGGTGTGGCTGGTAATTGGTTTCCATTGTCACTGTGGGTACCTGAGGAGCTGTACTGAGGGTAGAGCCTATCTTACATCGAGCCCTGTGTCCTTTCTCTTGGGAAAGAAAAGATTCTACTACAGACTCAGGCACTAGATGGATGCTATTTCCCGATTCTGTGATTTGGAAGGGACACCCAGGGACTCCGCTTTGGTTATGGAGAGATTTCTCCATTTGGCCAACCCAGTAAAGAGAGGCCACCGCAGAGTCAATTTACTTGCCTTCTTCCAGCATGTTGAAGCGTGGCACACTGGAATGGCAGCTGGAGGTAGCACTGGGAACAGGGCTCAGGCAGTGATGGAACAAAACTCCCCTCTCAGTTTTAGATGGTGATAATTATCTTGAGCCAATTACCAAAGGCTAAGGGGGCTGAGAACCCTCTCATTCAGTAGGATCTATGAGAATGAAAGACAGAACCCAGCAGCTCTGGAAAGGTTTTCTGAAGAAGGAGAGGTTAGAACCCAATGGAAACACAGGGTAGGATTCCAAATTATAGCTTTCTCGTTTTGAAGGGGGTTCTCTGGAGACCAGGCTATTGAATAGCAGTTAGCTAGCCATGGATGTTGGAGCCCAAGTGCCCAGGTGAGAACCTCAGCTTTTTGGGTGACAAGTCACTTAACTACCCAGTTTCTTTACCTGAAAAGTGGGAGTGTCAATAGTATCTGATTCAGAGTTGTTTAGAAGATGAAATGAATTAACATACGTAAAGTGCTTACAAGCATTCCTGACATCTGTTAAATTACATGTGTCAGACACTATTATTATTACTATTATTAGTTGAATACCATTAGGGAGAACACCTGGTAGTAACAAGAGGCAATAGGGTTTAAGTGAGGAAACAGCTGAGCCATCGCGTCCCCTGCCATCTGGGGATTTTAGACTCGGGGCCCAATAGCAGTCAAGCTCGTGCAATGGCTTTGAGGATCTGCGTTAGGAAATACTTGGTGTGGGGCGCTTGGCTGGCTCAGTGTGTTAAGTGTCCGACTCGGGTCGTGATCTCACGGTTCAATTCGCGAGTTCGAGCTTCGTGAGTTTGAGCCCCGTATAGGGCTCCGCACTGACAACGTAGAGCCTGCTTGGGATTCTCCGTCCGCTCTTCCCCGCTCACGCGCTCTCATGCTTTCTCCCTCCCTCTCAAAATAAATAGCATTTAAAAAAAGAAAGAAACTACTCAGTGTTTCCTGGGTCTGAGTTTCCTGTTTCCCCCAGCTGCACTTGGAATTGAATTAATCAGAGCCTTCAGAGCTTGCTCCATTCATTCATTCGTTCATTCACTCATCCCTTCAATCAAGATTTATTGAGCACCTACTGAGTCAGACACTGGAGATAAAAAAGGTAAGTGTTTCTGTTCTTAGGAAGCCTGCAGACTAGTGAAGAACGCAGACAAATGAGCAATTAACATTGGATTTGAAAGATGTTATTAGACATTCAATGAATGCTTGATTATCTGACAGAACAGATAATCCGCGTGTTAGTTAGGCGCTTGGATTAGTATCGGTCTTGAGAGTCTAGTGTGAGAGATGGACACATACAAATAAGCAGGGGGTATCATGAGACCACCGACAGCGAACATTTAAGACAGGGCCTCTGCTCTGGCTGGGCAGGATGCATGGCACACAACTCCAACACATGCCAGTCACCTTGGAACCGCTGTACATGTTCATCCAATAATTATTACAACACTTTCCCCCCAGCAGCTAGCAGGCTAGAAAACAAGGGCACCTTTTTCTAACGTGCACACAGCGATCGCTTGGAGCAGCTAAGGAGCCCGTCATCCGTGGCCCTCTGACTTAACACCCTGAACTCAGTTTTCAGGGATGAATGAGAGTTAGCCCAGCGAACAGGTGGAAGTGATGTCTCAGGAGGGGGTGAAAAAGAGGTAGAAGAAACAGCATGGAGGCACAGGACAGCAGGTAGGATGGGGCTGCCAGGGTCCAGCACCATCTGCGAAGTACGACGCAGGGAATACGGGCACACGAGTGGGCACGAGTGCCAAGTCCTCCACCCGGTTGCATACGGAAAGTGCTCAATAAACGTGTGATGGGTGGATGGGTGGAAGGAGGGAGGAGGGAGAGGTTTGGACTGGGATTAGCTGTGTGTTCTACTCCTCTTTAGATCCCACTTTCCCTGTTATAAAATGAGAGAGTTGAACCACGTGGCCTTCAAGATTCCTTCCAGCTATGACCTTCCGGGACCCAATTTCAGAGTTCTCCCTTTCGCCTGTACGTGGGTGGTACAGCTGACTTCAAAGCCGATATCCACTCTGGGTTCTCTTGTGGAATGCGGTCAAATTCC